TGAACATTGGGGTACATGTGCTCCTATGCCTCAGCATTTCTGTATCCCTTGGGTAAATTCCTAGCAGTGCTATTGCTGGGTCATAAGGGAGTTCTATTGTTAGTTTCCTGAGGAACCTCCACACTGTTTTCCAGAGGGGCTGTACCAGTTTACATTCCCACCAACAGTGTAGGAGGGTGCCCGTTTCTCCACATCCTCGCCAGCATCTAGAGTTCTCTGATTTGCTCATTTTAGCCACTCTGACTGGCGTGAGGTGGTATCTCAGTGTGGTTTTGATTTGTATTTCCCTGATGAGGAGGGATGCTGAGCATCGTTTCATGTGTCTGTTGGCCATCTGGATGTCCTCTTTGGAGAAGTGTCTGTTCATGTCTTCTGCCCATTTCTTCACTGGGTTGTTTGTTTTTCGGGCGTGTAGTTTGGTGAGTTCCTTATAGATTCTGGATATTAACCCTTTATCTGATATGTCATTTGCAACTATCTTTTCCCATTCCGTTGGTTGCCTATTAATTTTCTGGGTTGTTTCCTTGGCTGTGCAGAAGCTTTTAATCTTGATGAGGTCCCAACAGTTTATTTTTGCTCTTGATTCCCTTGCTTTTGGGGATGTGTCAAGTAAGAAGTTGCTGCGGTGGAGGTCAAGGAGGTTGTTTCCTGCTTTCTCCTCTAGGGTGTTGATAGTTTCCTGTCTCACGTTCAGGTCCTTTATCCATTTTGAGTTGATTTTTGTGCATGGTGTGAGAAAATGATCTAGTTTCATTCTTCTGCATGTTGCTGTCCAATTCTCCCAACACCATCTGTTAAAAAGGCTGTCTTTTTTCCATTGGATATTCTTTCCTGCTTTGTCAAAGATCAGTTGGCTGTATACTTTTGGGTCCACTTCTGAGTTCTCAATTCGCGTGTTCTCTATACTTAAGAGTCTCTTTCTTGGTTTGTTTCCCTGTCTCTTTATCCCTTTGCCCATTTGTTTTGTTTCTTAAATTCCACAAATGAGTGAAGTCATAGGGTATTTGTCTTTCTCTGACTTGTTTTGCTTAGCATAATACTCTCCAGTTCCATCCATATCATTGCAAATGGCAAGATTTCATTATTTTTTATGGATGAATAATATTCTATTATATATTTACATATCACATCTTTTTTTAACTTTTAAAATATTTTTTATTATTTTTACTTCAATATATAGGAGATATGATAGATACTGCTCTATTCTATGTCTTTTCAAACAAGATTTCCTGGTCTTTCTCAGAATTTTGTAATGTTTTCAGTTTTTCCTCTTCTGTTGTTCCTGTTGACAGTTAATTTGCTACATGCAATTATCCTTCTAATGACATATCACATCTTCTTTATCCTTTCATCTACCAATGGATATTGGCTGCCTCCATATCTTGGCTATTATAGATAACATTGCTATAAACATAGGGTTGCATATATCCCTTTTAATTAGTATTTCGTGTTTCCCGGATAAATACCCAGTAGTGCAATCACTTGATCACAGAGTAGTTCTATCTTTAACTTTTTGAGGAACCTCCACACTATTTTCCACAGAGGCTGTACCAGTTTGCATTCCCACCAATAGTGTACAGGATACCCCTTTCTCCACATCCTCGCCAACACCTGTTGTTTCTTTTGTTGTTAATTTTAGGCAGGCAGTCTTTTTAAAAAGAAGACTCTGCTATTTCCCTAGGACTTTATTTCAGGTTCCTGCTGCTAATTCTGCAAGTGTTGAAGGTGTGGCTCCTACCTGGAGTGAAAGGCCATGGAAGCACACAGGAGTTGTTTAAAGTTCGCTTTAATCAAAACATTTGTTTACATTTTCCTTTTAAATGTGTGCATGAGATTGATACACAGAATTAATAAGTGCAAAAGAAATAATTTAAAAAGTATAACAAAAATCAGAAATAACAAGAAAGAATTGGCAGCAATTTTTCTTTCTTAATGGGCTTTAAAATAGGAAAGCTACCTCCGTGGGGAGAATCTGAGGCTCACTTTTTGCTTTATCCAATTCTTCATTGCTTGAGTTTGTTACAAAAACATACTAATTTTAATTAGGAAAGTAAAGTCTGTTTTTTTTTTTTTTATTTTGGAGAGAGAAAGCATGCAACTGGGGAGAGGGGCAGAAGGAGAGAATTCATGCTCAGTGTGGAGTCTGACGTGGGGCTCAATGCCATGACCCTGGGATCATGACCTGAGCTGAAATCAAGAGTCAGACACTCAACTGACTGAGCCACCCAGGTGCCCTTAAGATAGTATTTAGTCTTTACAAACAATTGCTTAACTTCAATAAACCTTTCCATATTGTTTCCTGGAAGTTAAATTCCTGATTATTTCCTGACAGTCGATGTTATTTGGGTGCCAACAGCCCAAATGGACTGAGGGCCTCCAGCAGGCCCCAACCACAGCTGCACCCCTGTGAGGTCCAGGCTTACCAACACTTGCCCTCAGGCTCCTTCCCTGGCAAGACCTACACACACCAGCCAGTGGGAGCCAGGAGGCCTGCTCTGCTGCACACACAGCCTATCCTCCACCTGGCTTGAATGAGAGCCTGAGAGGGAGCTGACTCTGCCCTCTCCTCCAGCAGCAGCAAATGGGACAGGCAAACAGGGGAAATGGTGTGTGAACTCAGTGGGTGTCTGACCCAGAGGGGCCTTGTAGGGCAGATTAAGAGGGTAGAGGGTCCAGTCAGCTCACTTTCCATCCTGAGGAGTGGACCTTCCCTCACACTGGCTCTTGGAAGGGATATCAAGGCCAAGTGCAACTCACACAGAATCTACCATCCAACCCGTAGTGTCAGTTCCCACATAGGGTCCACAACACAACCAGCCTAGTCTGTTCCAGCTCAAGGGGCACAGCACAGCTGAGAGGAATAAAGAGCTCCAAACAGCTACTGGAGATCCATACCCCTTCACAACACAGGAGGGTTAACAAGTAAAACACAGGTAACATGGCTGCACTTCTAAATATAGAACAATCAGGGATGCCTGGGTGGCTCAGTTGGTTAAGCATCTGACTTTGGCTCAGGGCATGATTTCACATTTGTTAAGTTCAAGCCCCCCACTGGGCTCTGTGCTGACAGCTCAGAGCCTGGAGCCTGCTTCAGATTCTGTGTCTCCTTCTATCTCTGACCTTTCCCTTTCCCTGCTTTCTCTCTCTCTCTCTCCCTCTCCCTCTCCCTCTCCCTCTCCCTCTCCCTCTCCCTCTCCCTCCTGTACTCTGTGAACACTGGGAAAGGAGAATAACAGCACAGACAATCCAAAACTGTTGATAAATTATCTAAAATCCATTTGGCTCTGAAATATATTATGTGAAAATTTTATACAACTTATCTGTTATTTAGGAAGACATGAGATTGCTTTTCCTTAATGTATGCTTACTTGGAGCTCTGTGGGAGAAGGAAGTCTAACGTTACAAATTCCTTGCAAAGATATCCTAGAATGGAAACTAAAAAACTGGCCATGTTTCAATGGTCAGTTTCTTACTATACTCTCCATCACTAGACACAGAGAAACCAAGACCTGCTGTGCACCTATTAGGAGGCAGGTGGCCAGCAGTCTTCCCCTGCAGCAAACACAAGGGCTGAGGGAAATGAAATATTATTACTAACTCCTGAAGGCTCTGATAGCACTGGAGAGTCTACTTCCATCTGTTAATGGTGGAATCAATTCTATCCTTCAACTGGTTTTAATTTGACTAATTTATTGAAAATGGGGATACAATTGGACCAGACACAGTGGATAATTTCCTAATAAGCATGCAGGCCTATTAACCTCTCGGATCTATTAAGCTGGTTGCTTTAAAACAAACAAACAAGCATTAAAAATTTAAAAAATAAATACAGAACAATCAATAGATTGCCCATGTTGCTAATAATTTGAGAGGAAAAAAGTGGGTTAGAATTAGGTATATAAAGTACATCCTCATTTTCATAAAAATGAATGTATAGAAGATGGTTTTTATTTTTTCTTTTATCCTATTTTCCATTACACACAAAATGCATTACTTACATAAAAGTATAAAATTACAATTAAATTCTTCTCTATATCGCCAGTTAGAAGACAGAATGAAAAGTATTCTCTTTATTCTAAACACACACACACACACAAAAGCTCAGTGAAATGCCTAGAAACAGCTCTAGTAGGTAGGTGGAAGGTCCCGTGCGAATGACTAATGGTGACCAGAAGGTGCAGACTGGAGCCCTGTGATGTTTATGGATAAACAAAGACAAGACATTGTAAGAGTCTAAAGTCTGCTCAAGTTAACTCATTGTTTTAAAACAAACACAGTAAAGATCCTAACCTAATTTTTTTTTAGAATTTGGCAAAAATTATCTTAAAGTATAATTATCCCCAAATTTTCTACAATAAAATATACCTTTTATAATAGATATTAAATTTTTCAAAATTTGTCAATTCTTTTTCTGTCTTTCTTTTTTCCTCTCAATTTTCCAGTTGCTTTGACCAAGTGGAGTGGAATTCAGCTGTTGAATTTCCCTATTCTAGCCCTATGAGTTTCGCTGCTGGTGATTCAGGTACTACTGGGGGCTGCTCAGATGAACTTGATCAGACATTAAGAGACTTGTATTATGAGATCTAGAATTTGGCCATGGAGACAGTTGTCAGCACATAACTGATGCAGCGCATAGATCCTGTTTCCAAAGAACATGTGTAAACACAATCTGGATCCTCCTGTCCAAACCAGTGTCCGTGGTCTGACCTAAGGGTTGGTGATATTCCCCCTGGATGTTGTGTTGGATGACTTTGGTGCAGGTCCAGCATCCAATGTTGACAGGCCCTGGGGATCATAAGGTGGGTGCTGGATGGAGCTTCTAGGATGCAACCACTACAGGAATCAGCCTTTGAAATGATGGCCAACAGTAGTTAATTATAAATTAGTATCTTGAGCCAGAGGAAAAGGAAGGTAGCATTGGTTGGTTGGTCACCCTCCTTCCTGAAGGTGCATTATAAAAGCTTTGCCTTTCTTCCAGAGCATCCTCACGGTCAGTAGTGGCCCCAAAGGCACCATGGCTGCTCTAGGCATCACGGTTGCCCTGTTAGTGTGGGTGGCCACCCTAATGCTCATCTCTATTTGGAAGCAGATCTACAACAGCTGGAAACTGCCCCCTGGCCCTTTCCCACTGCCCATTATTGGGAATCTTCTTCAGTTGGACCTCAAGAATGTTCCCAAATCTTTAACTAAGGTAGGAGAAATATTGTTGATATGGGGGAGGAGAATTCATGGATTAGACATAATGTGTGCATTCAATTCATTGTCACACAAGTTGTTATTCAATACAGGCCTGTTATGAATGAACTGACTTAACAGTAGTATCCAAGAGTGATATTTAAAATATTTAGCTAGTGGTACAGCCTGGGCATGGAGCCCTGGAGTGGGCATTGGCCATGGTCACCCCCAGAGGCCTCTGCTTGAGCCAGGTGTTAACTGCTCTGTCACTGGATGTGTTGGTGAGGCCAGTGTGGCTGGGACTGCTGCTGCTGTTCGCTACTGCAAAACAAGGAGAAGCCATGTATTCACACCAGGTACACACTGCAGATGCCAAAGAACAGGGTGAAAAGTGGTGTCAACCAACCTGTATGTTACCTTCACCTACAGTTGTGAACAGTGAATTGAATGAGCTAAAGAATCTAAAAATTGAAAGAGTTGCTAAATCTATTACATGGGTTAATAAGAGAATGCTGTAGAGCACAGAGCAGACCCGTGTAGTGTTTGCAATAAGGGGGGTGTTGACAGTGCTTTGTGCACCATGGAGGATGGACTTGTGGAGGTCAGGACAGTGCTGGCTCAGGGTCTTCCTGCAGCACCCTGGGGGTCCAGGTTAGACTGGGGATAGCAGACAGTGGGGGTGATGGGACAGATGTAGTCAAAGGGGCCGCAAGGGAGGGAGAAGAGTCAGCCCACCATGTTGGCTGTGTCCAGGCACATGTGTCCTGGTGCCTGGGTGTGCTGAAATTTCCATTCCTGCAGAAGAAAGCCTCTATGGGGAGGGTCTTCCCAAACTGGGCTGGACAAAGACTGTCTTTCCCCAGATCCCTCTGTGTTCTTTTGGTCAATAACAACTTTGGGGGTCAGTTTAAATCCTGTCCCACCTTCTCCCTAAGTTCCCAGTGGCCTCACTTGGCTGCTTGCTGGTCTCTGCAGTTGGCAGAGCGGTACGGGCCAGTGTTCACCGTGTACCTGGGCTCCCAGCGCACTGTGGTCCTGCATGGCTATAAGGCAGTGAAGGAAGTCCTGCTTGACTACAAGAATGACTTTTCTGGCAGAGGAGAAATCTTCGCATTTGAGGCACACAAGGACAGAGGTGAGCCCCACTTCTCAGAGCATCCCCATGGTGGGGTACCAGCCAGGTCCTGAAATACCAGTGATGATAGCCACATAGTAAATAGTATAAAATAGAAAGGTAAAGAGACCTGCAGACAATTCAGGTGCTCAGTACATACTTTATTGAAAGCTACCATGATAGACTGGCACTAAAAAAGATAGGACCTCAAGCACCCACACACTGATGAGCAGGGCAGACGTGCTTACCAAGAAATGCCACGGGGGAAAACACCTCTGGCAGTTGAGCGGTGCCTTCCTTCTCCTGTTGTAGCCTCAGTCTAAGAGCTCTTTCCACTCACAGCCTCACTTGCTCCCGGGTGTTGACGCTCCATCCTCCAAGGTCCCTCACCTAAGATGAGGCACTGACACCGCTGAGCATTCTGCTGGTCTGTGGGGCTTAGCTCAGCTGCGGCTCGCATTCTCCAATGAGGAGGCCTCTGATACCCCACCTGGGGTGCTCTAAGACCAAGAAGGGGGCTGAGCGCAGGCCCAGCTCATAAAGAGATTTCCACACGATCCTCTCTTTATAGCCTCACCTCTCTTTCTTCGGCAGCCTATGTCTCTAGAGCCCTGGGTTCCCCATATCTACAACACGCACTGTCACCTCCTGTCGGGGTCTGGGGGCCTGCCTGGTTTTTATCTGAGTGATTCCAATGCTCACCGCCTGTGTCTCCTGGGACATCTGGAGTTCATGGGGGCACCTGCTCACAGTTCCTCCAGCTCACAGCCCTGTGAGCTCCCTGCCCACCCCTGCCCGCCCCCTGACCTTGCTTATTCTTTTCTACTTGCTTACTGTCATGTTAGTGAAATTCTAAAGCATATTAGAAACAAAGGAATGTCCCATCTACCCTACAAAACCCAGCAGGCCCTAGTTTCTCCTGGCTTAACTTTGGTGACAAATCTCTAGAAAACCTATATCCATTTTATGCAGAATTTTCAGATTGAGGTGCTTCCTGTTGTGTGTGCTGTTCTTATGGTGCTGTCCCCTTATTTCTGTATACATTCCCAAGGTCATACCCTGTCACTATCAATGGCATTTGATTTTCTCTGTTGGATGCTGTGGGTTTTACTTCTTTGGGGTTGTCAAAAGTAAAGTTAACTACTCAATCTTTGTCATTAACACAACAGGAGCTTCACTGATCCACAAGAACACGAGTTGTGGGGTCAAGGAGCTCTCTACTAGATCCAGGGAGCCCTTATCTGCCACCCCTGGTCCAAGTCATGGGTCCCTGAATGCAGGCAGGCAGGGGCCACATTCACATTCCATAGGTTGGACTCAAAGAGGGCAGTTCATCCCCTCCTGCTTGGCTCTCCCAAGTCCTATTTTCACATGTCCCATGTAGCCCAGACTCTGTACGTGGGATACATCTTGTTCCCCAGGGATGATAACACAAATTTTAATTATCAGCATAATATTGAGCACAGGGTGCATGTTAATTAAAAAAATTTTTTTCATCAGTAAATGTTTATAAAGCTGTGATGGAGAAGCATTATTGTCTGCATCTCAGCCTGTTTTGGACTCCAAATTCTTGGCTCCTCTGAAATCTCTCTGTCTCTCTGTCTCTGTCTCTGTCTACCTTTTTAAAATAAACTACCTCCCTACCTGTCCCTCCTCAGTCCCCCATGTCACAGACATTGGCAGGAGGGGAGGGCAGGGGGTGTCCACTGGGCACTCCCTCTTCCTACTTTCTCTCCCAGCTTCTTGGGCCGTCAGGACTGGGAGCGCAGCTCATAACTCTGTCTTCTGGCCTACTGAGCACACACACTCGGGTCCCCCCACCTCTCTGCCCTGCATCCTGGGTCAGCAAGTCTGCTGAGGCCACTGCAACAACGTTGCAGCTGCCCTCCCCTTGAGGCGATCAATGGGTCCCACAGACACATGAGAGTGTGGTCATGTGTGACCTGGGTTCCCTCTTGGGCTCTGAGCTGTGTCTCCAGTATCCACCCAGCAACCTCCGCAGTGTCCAGTAGGAATCAGGAGTTCAGCATGCACAGACTTGATCCCAGGACCCCCAAACTCCATCCCCAGCTGATGGAGTGTGTTTTTAACTGAACCCTAACTCTAACCTCTAAGTAGGGCCTTGGGTGCCGTGTACCTTCTGTGCACCCACACCGAGCAGGGGGCCATGCTGTCCTTCCATCCACCTGTCCGTCCCCACCTCATGCTTCCCTGCAGGGTGGAACTGAGGCCCTCAGTGCTGCATTTGGCCTGCCCCGCATCATCTCACTCCTCCCTGTCCCTCTCCGGCCGCCAGACTTCCTTCTAGAACATACCTTGCCTTGGCCTTCTTCAGACCTTTGCTTGCACCTCCCAAGGGAATGTGAGTGAGGTCTTCCCAGATCCAATGGTCAGCAGAGTCTGGGAGCTGAGTGACAGCTCAGGTTTCAGTAAGGACGCTTTCTGTGAGGCCACAAAGCTTCAGGTCACGTATTTGTAGTGTGGAGCTTAAAAGAGAGTGGAAACAGGCCAGCTTCTCAGGAAGTTTGTTAACAGACGGGAAAGGCGGGAGGAGGGTTCCTCTTGCTGTGCAGCTGCGGCTTTGTGTCACGTGGGGAAGACCCCGGGGAAAGTGGAAGAAGGTAAACTGGCGGTAAGAACGGCGCCCAGGGAGAGCGAGCCGCGAGTAGAGCCGGGAAGGCCCCTCGGGAGCTGGGCAGCCCGGGTTCTCGCCCTGCCCCGGGGCATCTGCTGTGACAGGGCGCGACTCCGGCCTGTCCCCTCTTCCCTAGGAATTACTTTCAACAACGGGCCAAGCTGGAAGGACACCCGGCGCCTCTCCCTGAGCATCCTCCGGGACTACGGCATGGGGAAGCGTGCCAACGAGGAGCGGATCCAGAGGGAGGTGCCCCTCCTGCTGGGGGCGCTCAGGGGGACCCAGGGTGCGTGCCCTCCGGCCACTGCGGGGCGGGAGGGGGCGGGAGACGCGACGGGCCGGGTCCTCCGGCCACTGCCCGGGGGGGGGGCGGGGGGGGGACAAGACGGGCCGGGCCCTCCGGCCACTGCCGGGGGGGGGCAGCCCCCCGAAGCTGCTGGCACCGAGCGGGTCGCGTTAGCCCACAGGCACCTTTGGCCGCTCAGGCTCCTCCCTACTCAGGGGGTGCAAGGGCGCCGTCAAGCGTGTTTATCCAGAATAGCTGGAAAGTAAAGGGGCCCCAAGTAGGCTCCCACAAGGCTTTTAGAATTATGGCAGCGTCCAGGGCCGCTTCTCCCAGGCGCTGGCAAGCGTGAGCGGCCGGGGGTGGGGGGGAGGGGGGGTGGAGGGACCCCAACAGCTCACGCGTCTTCCAGGCCAGCCCTTCGACCCCACCTTTCTCCTGGGCTACGCCCCCTGCAACGTCATCTCCGACATCCTCTTCCGCAAGCGCTTTGACTACACGGACCAGACGGGTCTGAGGATACAGAAGCTGTTCAACGAGAACTTCTACCTGCTCAGCACCACCTGGCTCCAGGTGAGGCCCCACCTCCGTAGTCTGCATCTGCCCTCTCGGCCCGCTGAGGTTGGCAAATAACAAGGTGGGGGTGGGGGATGGGCAGGGGCCCGGGGCTCGATGGCCTGCATGCTGCTTCTGGAGACCTCCACAGGGCCCCGTGTTCCCCCTTGCTGACCACGGGACACTTACTGTTTTACCCTTAAAACAGGACCCCACTAACACGTGACTTTGCACACCTGTCGTCGTGGTGCCAAAGAATTACTGTGAGCCAAAACGTTCTAAATAATACAACCCAACGACCATCAATTCAAGTTGGAAAAGCTATTAGCCCAGTACACAAAACCATGTTGCATCTGCAAGAAAGCATAGTAAGATAATCCTCTCTCTCTCTCTCTCTCTCTCTCTCTCTAGTTTTATAACATTTTTCCGAACTATCTGCGCTACCTACCTGGAAACCACAGAAAAGTAATAAAAAATGTGTATGAAATAAAAGGCTACACTTCAGCAAGAGTGAAGGAACACCAGGAGTCCCTGGACCCCAACTGCCCCCGCGACTTCACCGACCGCCTGCTCCTGAAGATGCAGAAGGTACCACAGACACTTGCACGTGAGGACATGCTTCCGCTCCTCATTAGGAGTTGCGACTGCTGGGTGGCTGGGGCGACGCTGTTGCAACCCAGACTGCTCACACTGGCACATCTGGTGCTTCTGGCTCTATACCACTCTGGCTTCATATGACCACCACACCTGCTCCCATGAGTGTGGAGACAGCAAACCATAGAAGGTCCGCAGTGCTGGCCAGCAAGATGGCTTTCTTGGGGTTGGTGCGTGCGCCCTTCTTGTGGATTCCCTCCAGGCTGTACTTCTTAACCATTTCTGACTTCGATGGGTGTGTCTCATTTGGCTTGAAGCCCTCCACAATCCTCCTCAGCACATAAACCCCAAATTGTACATGAGTTCAAGAGTTTCCAGGACTACCCAGCATTACCTACTTGACAGCCCCCAGGACCCCCATCCAGATGTGACACTTCTCCTTCCTTTGACACCTCTTGTGGCTCTAGAGCAGCATGTGAATTCCATACCTGATTTCCCTGGAAGCTCGTCTATCACTGGGGCCCCTCACTGCCCTACCCAGGTGTCTGCCTCCTGGGAATCAATGGTGCTGACTGTGGTCTTGGAGAAGGTCAAGGGCAGCCTCTGAGACTCTTGGGTTGTTAGCGGAGGCCCCACAGTTCAGCCCTGGGCTGCGGGAGGTCACGGCTCAGCACCAGGGAAAGCCTTACTCCTCGGACAGCCCTCAGTCCTGTATAAGGAGCACATGTTCGGCAAGAGGCACAGTCCTGCTGATGGCCAGTTTTGTGGGACTCTTGGATTCCCTGACTATGCCATGGAGACAGTCATGTTTCCATGGGATAGCCTTATGAACACTTGCCCCCTTCCTTGTGGGGCAGGCAGGCTTGTTGGGTTCTTTTCTGCTGCGGAAGGCAAGGGTCTCTTCTCGTCCACCTGAAAACACTCTCTTCTGGAAATCCCTGTCTGTCTCTGATCTCTGCAGGAAAAATACAGTGCAGAGCCTTGGTGCACCTTGGACAACATTGCTGCCACTGTAGCTGACCTGTTCTTTGCGGGTACAGAGACCACCAGCACCACTCTGAGATACGGGCTCCTGATCCTCATGAAATACCCAGAAATTGAAGGTATGCCAGGTAGTGGGCAAAGACTCCGGCGCCGTGCCACCGGCACACCTGGACTGTCAGGCTGGAGCACTTAGGCTTTAGCCTTCTGCCTGCAGAATCGAAACTGGCATTGCTTGTTAGCCACCATGGGAGTGGGGCTGGAATCACTGGCATGAATACAGTGGACGTTTTCTTGTATATGACGGAGACCTGACACTCTTGAGCATCAGTCCTTCCACATCCCACTGACACACACCTGATTTCAGACAAGAAGAACCAACACCAGCATGGAAAATGCAATGCCATCTGCATCCCAGTCCATAATATAACCTATTTATGACAGTGAAAACAATGTCTACCCTGCCCATGATCAAGACCTGGCCTCCCAGGCAGAGGAGAGAGGGAGAGGCAGGATGGGGCCAAGGTCTCTATGGCATAGTTCGCCCAACTGGAAGAATGGGGACCAGAAGAAGGGATCCCCAAGGAGAAGCATTCCAAGATTGCCTGCTATCCTGGAACCCATTTGTTCTTTCCCAGGGGCCCCTCCTGCACCGGGGCTAGGTGGGACTTAGAATGCCTTTGAGGAGGAGAAAGCTGGTGCCACACATGCAGAGGGCCATGCCCCAGAAGTATCTGCCCTTGGCATGGGCCAAGTAGAGGCGCTGAGAGGGCATTGATATGTTAACAGGGTGATGAGTGCTGACCCACCAGGAAAGAGGAAAGAAAGGGTGCTGCTGCCTGGGGTGAGGGTGTCCTCATGGCTAGTGGCTAGGCCTAGTGTCCCCTCTTCCCCTGGGCTCTGCTCCAGAGGGCTCCTCAGCATCCCAAGGCATGCTTGCTTCTGCTTCCAATAAGCCAGGCATGGGTATAATCGCTTAAATACACTGCATACTTAAGGGTAGGTATCATAGGATATGAAGTATTTCCCCCAGAGGTGTGGAATGTGGCTTGTCCAGGATCAGATTTGGTCCATCTGACTCCAAAGCCATTGCTTTTTCTGTCTCACAGAAGGGCGAGGGGCAAAGCAACCAGAAGTCGCTAGAGGGAAGTCTCTCACAAATCTGACAGAACCTATGACTTGTATCAGGGAGACTATAGACTGAAAAAGTGTCTTACATGATTAATTATGAGTAATTTCCAATATAGAGAAAAAGAAAATAAATATGGCTGACACCATCCTCTATTGAAAAATGTAACATGTATTAACATTTTGCAGTACCTGCTTCAGGGCTCTTGGAAAGAACAGGTTGCAGAGCCAGCCAAAGTCCCTCCTTAGGCCGCCCTGCTGCCCGCCCCGAGACGTGGCAGTGTCCTAGGACTGCTGTGTGTGATCTCCGCTTGACTTCATGCATTTAATGCTTGTTAAATATCAGCATACAATCCATATTGTGTGTTTTACATCTTTACCTGGGAACCATATGGCACATAATTTTGTGATTCACTCAATATGTTGTAAAGGCCCATAGGAAATCTCAAGCTCAGAGAGGTCCAGCCTAACTAAAGGTTGCTGTTACCTCCACCAGAAAGAGAGGGACACCCAGGCCCTACTTTATAGTTCTTCATGAAGAAGGCCATGCAGATGTGTTTCCATTCTGCCTTTCACATCCATACTTCCTGAAACATGCCATAAACCAGCCTGGGGTAATAAATAATTAATGCAGAGATTTCACTCCAACTTGAATGTTTACTTTTATTTTTAGAAAGAGAGCATGAGTAGGGGAGAGGGACAAAGAGAGAGAGAAAGAGAGAGAGAGAGAAAGAGAATCTTAAGCAGGCTTCACACTCAGCCTAGAGCATTGCTCGGAGCTCAATCTCATGACCCTGGGATCACGACCTGAGCTGAAATCAAGAGTTGGGTGCTCAACTGACTGAGCCACCAACTCCCCATCCTCCAACCAGAAGTTTCTAAGACCCTTCTGTTATTCTCTACTCCTGGCGTAATGGCAAGAACTGGATTAGCTATATTCAGCTAGAGGCTAACACGTGCAAGAAGCTTAAACAGACACAGAACTTGGCTGTCTTCAGCGCTTGTGGTACCCAAGACACCCTGAAACACTGCTGAAAGTGCTCCATAAGTATCTGCTGGGTGGACGGGTGGATGGGTGCTGAGCCAGCCTGGAGTCGATCTTTTACATCTATACTATTCATATTGTGGCAGAGAAACTCCATGAAGAAATTGACAGGGTGATTGGGCCAAGCCGAATCCCTGCCATCAAGGACAGGCTAGAGATGCCCTACATGGATGCTGTGGTGCATGAGATTCAGCGATTTATCGATCTCTTGCCCTCCAACCTGCCCCATGAAGCAACCCGGGACACAGTGTTCAGAGGATATGTCATCCCCAAGGTCAGATGTGGGTCTGGTGTGCACACCCTGAGCACCACAACCCTGCTAGCCCATCAGCCAGCTTCTAAAAGGCAGGATACATTGGCAGATGTGGCTGAATGGTGGAGGCCGGCCAGCGTTCCCACCCTGCAGAGTGCTGCTTCCCCAGCAGTCCTCACATGGACCTGGTGACCAAGAAGTGGAGAAAATCTGGAAAGGAGACCCTTGGGACAGTGCCGGGGGCTTATGGTATTTCCCAACCCCAGAAACCAACAGTAGTAACATGTAGCCCTGAGCTCCCCCTCTGAGGAGATTACAGCTCTTGGCACCATTTAGACGTAACCCCTGACTGCCTCCCATGTAGTCCTTAAGCAAATGACTTCCCCAACTGGAGGTCCCAGTAGAAAGCCCATGTTCTGTTAACTTGATGGACTGACACAGGCATTTGCTCCTTCTAGGGTACAGTTGTGATCCCAACGCTGGACTCCCTCTTATTTGACAACCAAGAATTCCCTGATCCAGAGAAGTTTAATCCAGAGCACTTCCTGAATGAAAGTGGAAAGTTCAAATATAGTGACTATTTCAAGGCATTTTCTGCAGGTAAGAAGAGTGCAGATGTAGCCCCTTCCCTGAGGAGCTGTCCCTGGTTTGTGCTCTCTGCCATGGCCATGGACCTGCACCGGGGCCTGGCTTCTGTTCACAACATGTCCCAGATGTGTTCCTCCCTGTTCACACAGCTTAAATGACATCTTCTTACCAGAGGTCCTGGAAATGAGATGATTTATTATTTCTGCAAAGCAGATAACTTCATTCATTTAGTACTGAAACTCTTCGGTATTTAATAGGACTTAGTGAAAATCTTTCAAAACTCTAGTACCTAATTCTGCATAATTTTATACAAGGGTAAATAAGCAAAGTCTAATGTTTGCTTTCCTAGACTCATCATCAGACCATCTAGTCCTCTCTTGGGCCCTTGATCTCCTTCTCCAGGGCCTTTCTTCAGGGGTTGGTGGGAGGGAAGATCATATAACCAACTCAGTAACACCCAGTGTTAAGAGCGTTTGGCTTCCAGCTGTGGCCCCATTTATTTCCTGTAGGATGTCAGGGTGAGCACTGAGCAGAGATCACTCTCCCAACCTAACATATGTTTATGCTCTTGAGTCCTGGTGATGGAAGCCATATGAAGGCTGGTCTCTGAATATGTCTATCATGGATATTGTTATACTGAAATGTGTTATGTGCTTCCTTTCAACAGGCACAGAGGGGTCAGTTCTGCTTTAGGGTGACAGCTTGTCCACAAATCCCCCCCACGTGGCCCCCTCTGCTGCCTTGCCTGTAACAGTCCTGCTGTTTTTTGAAGCCACCTCAGAGCCTCAGCAGCACCATTGTCTCTTACAGGAAAGCGGGTGTGTGTTGGAGAAGGCCTGGCCCGCATGGAATTGTTCCTGTTCTTGTCTGCCATTTTGCAGCACTTTAACCTGAAGTCTCTCGTTGACCCCAAGGATATTGACCTCAGTCCCAGCTTAATTGGGTTTGCCAAAATCCCACCCCGTTACAAACTCTGTGTCATTCCCCGTTCAGATGTGTGAGGCACACGTGACCTGAAGACCCCTGTCTTAGGCTCTTTGATGCAAGCCTGGAGTCTTCCTGCTCCCCCATATCCCCTCAGGTGCCTCCAGGAAGACCCTACCTGTATGGTCTCATCAAGAGCCGTCAGAGCTTCCTGGGGAATAAATTGGGGGCTAGAGATGCCTCTTTCCAGAGTCACATTCATCAGACAGAATTTGACAGCAAAAAAAAAAGGTTGTGTACAACTAATTAAACAAATTGAAACAATCTCTATGACCTAGTTAAATCTATATTCAAGCCCCTGGAAACAAGGGTGAGTGAGATCACTGTAGTTTAAACACTTTTTCCGGGAAAGCAGAGCTACCCAGTCACCAAGGTTCACAAAAAGATTCCTTTTTAGAATGAATAGAACAAATGCTATTGTGTTGTTTGAAAAAGGAAAGTAGTATACCTTTGGAGTTTGTTAACCACATCAAAAATATATACCCTAGCATCTGTCCTTTGGACATGAAATTGTCCCTTTGGACTCATTTGTCAGCATCCTTCTGGGCTATATTTTAAGATTAAAATATGTCTGAAAAGTCAACATAGACATCTGTTATTATCTCTTAACACTAAAGTGTGACTTTATACCTGGAAGAAAAAACTCTAGGCACATGGGGACCCTGTGTGGAATGAGGCAGAAATGAGGAAATTATTAATCAGTTCAGTGAACTAAACAATGTTGGTAAACAGAAGAGGAATTTGGAACAAGAGAGTTTCCCCCACCCCACTGGCACACACCAAAGCCCCCTGTGTGCTCAGCCTTCATGCCCTGACCACCCGTCTGTGGGTGTGCTGGAAGCCCCTCTACTCAACAGGGTGTAAGGGCTGCACAGGTTAGGTGTGCAGAGCCTTTGGGACACCATGTGGCACACAAAAGTCCTGCCTAAGTGTTCCTTAATAAAACAAGTAATGTTTCAAAGCCAGCAGTGTAGCATCCTTCAATCTCTCTCTGGTAACCCTCCTGGCCTGCCTCTCGTAAGGGTCCTGTGACTGTGGGGAATAAGTTTAAGAATTCTCTGAGTTTGCACCAATGGGTTAATAACGCTTAGGGAGGAAAGCCAACACAGGGAAAAAGTACCCAGCTTAGAACAAAGCATAGAGTGGAAGGCCACTTCCATAGTACGAAAGTGTCTGAGAACAGGTAGGGCCAGAAGGCTGCCACAGCAGGGCGAAAGCACCCAGAATTCATCATTAGGTAAAACGAAGCATAGCGTGGAAAACCACTACAGGGAGAAAGCACTTGGAGCTAATTAGCAAGAAAAATGCCTTGTTGACACTGAGGTAACATGTTCTATCTGTCTTAACCCCTAGAAAAGTTAAGATAAAAAGACATGGTGCCTGGTGCCTGCAGTAAATGTCTATCTGCTCGGAGCTGGGATTTTGATTGTCTTGACCCAAACCCCTAGCACTGCATACCTTTGTAAAAGATTTATTCGATCTGAAGAGAAACCAGAGTAGCACTGCATATCTTTGAAACCCCCTGTATTTCACACGCGTGAGCTAATGATGACTGTTTTATTGTCTCTTTCTGCACGTCCATCACGTATGCAAGCCTTCTGATCCTAATAAATACGGAGAAAGGACACTTACTCAGAGCTCTTGTCTGCTCCCGGACGTTAGCTTCTCGAGTATTCAATTCTACATCTGCTCTCTTGATGGACAAGAGAGAAGTCCAGACTCAAAGTCTGGGACATGTGACAATACTGGGCCCACACAGATAACCCAAGGTAATCTCCCTGTCTCAGGGTTCTTAAACACACGTTCAAAGTCCCTTCACCGCATAGGTAGCCCAACCACTGATTCTGGGATTAGGATGTGCATGCCATCTTATCCCCCATGAGGCACTAGCAAAACCCAACATTGACAAATCGGCAAATCATAAACTGAGGAGGACCAGCTGCCCCATTCTGAAAGGTTCCTGTCATTTTCATGACCACACCTACATGGTGAGTGATACTGCTTCCAGTAGAAAACTATAAGAAAACATCTTTTAATTTGCTTTAGGGATTTAAATTTTACAAAGTGCCCTATGAAAATTATATGTAAAACAACTTGACAATAAACTATTTAAAAATTTTTTAAAAAGAAAAAAAGAAAATTCTGAAGTACTCGAAAGTAATGAAAAAAAAGTTGGAATGGAGAGTGGGGGCCTTTTTAGTGTAAATGTTTAATGGATCCGGACAGCAGCATTTGGTTATTAGCTTGGTTATAAATAGGAGGTAATACCACCTTGATAATTAGTCTGAGCTTGAGAAACTCTCCACTGATCTGAACCACATTTAGCAAAATGGAGACAGAGAGGGTGGGGTGGCTGCGGGAGGGGAGGAATGTCTTGATCTGTTCTGTCTGGTGTAACAAAGTACCATAGACTGGGGTTTATCACCAACTGAAATACACTTCCCACAGTCTGGAGGCTAGAAGTCCAAGTTCATGATGCCAGCATGCTTCTGGGTTGCAGGTGGATGACTTTTTGCTGTCCTCACGTGGTAGAAAAAGAGCTAGCTAGCTCACTGGCCCCATTCCTGTGGCTCCATCTCCATGGCCTGATCGCCTCCCAAAGGCCCCACATCCTAAGACCATCACATTGGAATTAGGGTTGCAACATAGGAATTCTGGGGAACATAGACATCCAGTCTATTGCTTTCCATTCCTGGCTTCCCCAAATTCATATCCTCCCACATATGGAATACACTCATTCCATCCCAACAGCTTCAAAGTCTTACTGCTTGCAGTCAGCCCTTAAGTCTAAAATCCAGTGTCCCCTAAATATCCACTAAATCAGATGGGGGTGAAACTGGAGGCATGGTTCCTCCTCAGGCAAAACCCTCTCCAGCTGTTCCCGGTGACACCAGATGAGTTACGTGCTTCCAGAATATAGTGGTGGCGCAGGCACACGGCAGACATTCCAGTGTGGAGAGATGGAACCAGGAGGGGCGGTGGGTGCAGTGGGTCCCAAGTATGTCCAAAGCCCAGCCGGACAAACTGCACGATCTCAACGCCTGAGGAGAACCCTCTCTGGCTTGAAGCTCTTCCCCTGCGCCCAGTGGGGTGCAGGTCCTGCTCCTGAACCTCTGCTGGGCAGGGGTCACACCCTGGGGCTCTGCCAGGCACTCTACCCCAAGGGCTTTGGGCGGAGGGCATCTGGCCTGTGAAAACAAGGCAACTGTCCTCCTTTGAAACTGAAGACGTGGTTCTGGCAGTTTTGGGTGGACTTTGGGGTCATGCTTCCCTTGCCTTGACATTCTGTGCACTTCACAGCTGAAGAGCTCTCATACCTCAGCCTGTAAATTCCAGTCCAACAGCTTCCCAACCCTCCTTCCCATCCCCTCCTCCCTCACCTGGCTTCCACCCTGTGAACCTCCGAACCAAAGCACTATTTGGCCACACCCTTAGTACTCTCTTCTGAACATGCTGTCTCTCCTTTTTAATTTTTTTTTTTTTTTTTGGCACTAAGGATAGGCTAAGAATTTCCCACAGATTTAGTTTCTAGTTACCTTTTGCTTAACAATCCCATCTTCAAGTCACTCCTTTGTCCTTGCATTTTCCTATGAGCAGGCCGGAAGGACCAGTCTGCTCCACCAGCACTTTGTTTAGAGACCTACGCAGCTACATATCCAGTTTCTCTCGAGTTCAGCCTTCCACAAAAGGATGCAACTCAGACACAATTTAGCCAGTTCTTTTCCAGCTTGCTACAAGGATCACCTTTTCTGCATTGTCCAATGAGGTGCTCCTCCTTTCTGTCTGGAACCTTATCAGAGCAATCTTTATAGTCCAGGCTTCTGACAACATTTTGTACATGACTACCTTTTTAAATTTACTTTTCAATTTACATCCAAGTTAGTATGCATATACTGCAATAATGATTTCAGGAGTAGAATAATGATTCCGGGATTCATCCCCTACATATAACACCCAGTGCTCATCCCAACACGTGTCCTCCTTAGTGCCCCTTGCCCATCTAGCCCGTCCCCCCCAAACCCCTCCAACAACCCTCAGTTTGTTCTCTGTATTTAAGAGTCTCTTAGGTTTTGTCTCCTTCCTTGTTTTTATATTATTTTTGCTTTTCCTTATGTTCATCTGTTTTGCATATTAAATTCCACATGAGTGAAGTCATATGATATTTGTCTTTCCTGACTAATTCTGCTTAACAAAATACCCTCTAGTTCCATCTACATTGTTGCAAATGGCAAGATTTCATTCTTTTTGATTCTATTTGAGTACAATATACTCCATTGTATATATATACCATATCTTTTTTTATCCATTCATCTGTCAATGGACATTTGGGCTCTTTCCATACTTTAGCTATTGTTGATAGTATTGCTATAAACAATGGGGTGCATGTGCCCCTTTGAAACTGCATACTTGCATCCTTTGGATAAATACCTAGTAGTGCAATTGCTGGATTGTAAAGTAGTTCTATTTTTAATTTTTTGAGGAACCTCCGTACTGTTTTCCTGAGTGGCTGCACCAGTTTGCATTCCCACCAGCAGTGCAAAAGGGTTACTCTTTCTCTGGATCCTTGTCAGAATCTGTCATTGCCTGGGTTGTTAATTTTAGCCATCCTGACAGGTGTGCGGTATCTCATTGTGGTTTTGATTTGTATTTCCCTGATGATGAGTGATGTGGAGCATTTTTTTCATGTTTATTAGTCTTCTGGATGTCTTCTTTAGAAAAGTGATTGGTGACCCCAGAGGGTCCTGATGGGAGTTGGTCACAGAAGACCCCCACATCAGAGGTGGGCCCACCAGGCAATTGTGGCCTAAGGACCTGTTGGGGTCACCTGACTCTGGGCCCTCATGCAATCCCCAACTTGTCTGCCAACCTACTGAATGTGAATTTTCTGCTGACACTTTCCCAAGGGAAGGGCCTATGGACTTTTCATGCCTAGTTTCATGAAACACATTTTCCTTAGGGACTGTGATCTGAAGTGAGGCTAACTGGCTGGCATTGTGCTGTCCACCCTGTTCTGTTGTAAATGGGCACACCAGGCATTCCTGTGGGCAGACATGCTTCTCTTTGATTGGGGTCAGTTATGGCCGAGTGTGATTTCTCTGGAGTCCACACTCAGGGATCTACTCCCCTGCTCCAGAGTAGAGCCTCTCCACTCTGCTGATGAAAGACTTTGGCTTGCACCTTCAGGGTCTTTTGTCCTTGGGAAGCAATAACCCCTCTTCCAAAAGCACTTCAGGAAGTTCTCTCCCAGTGCATTCCACAGATCACTGCCCCTTGCTATGCTCGGGGCCGGCTCCCTCCTCCCCAGGAGCGCACAGCTTGGCAGAAAGTCACGCGCTTTCAAAACCCCTGAGTTTCAGGGGCGCCTGGGTGGCTTAGTCGGTTAAGCGTCCTACTTTCGCTTAGGTCATGATCTCACCGTTCGTGGGTTCGAGCCCCGCGTCGGGCTCTGTGCTGGCTGCCAGCTCAGAGCCTGGAGCCTGTTTCCGAGCCTGTTTCCGAGCCTGTTTCCGAGCCTGTGTCTCCCTCTCTCTCTGACCCTCCCCTGCTCACGCTGTCTCTCTCTCTCTCCTAGAAATAAATAAAAAAAATTAAAAAACAAAAAACAAAAAACAAAAACAAAAAAACCCCTCCGAGTTTCAGCTCCAAAGGCTGTTTGCAGACAAGAACCGGCGCTCTCTGTATTTCTTGTTCCCCAGCCCGTCGTCCAGAGAGGCCTCCCTCTTGTGCTAACTTGACGCTGCACTTTCACAGCCCTCTCTCTTTTGTTCCCTTTGTCTCTGCACAGAAGGGGCTCCCTCTCCTCCCTGGCTACACCGTTTTATCTCCCCAAATTCACACGCACGCCCCTCGGTCCGGCCAGGCTGTCTCAGTCCGACTGTGGAGATCACTGTGCCATTCCGCAGGTCAGTTTCCTGGGTGCTGTATGTAACCTGACCTCAATACAGCTGTGTTTCAGAGGAG